GCCACTCAAAACCCCAAAACCCCAAAACCCCAAAACCCCAAAACCCCAGATGATCAAAATAATTGAAAAATATTGAAGTAGTAAATTAATTATTAAAGAGCCTTTTTATATTCTATTCATTTAGATACTGCTTCATTTATTTCTCCGAAACCTTCAAATTAATCATTTTTCTACTCTACTAATCTTATTTTCTATGTTGGAATTACTGTTTCTTTGAGGTCCTTGAAACTTACAAGTGATTTATTTTTTCTTAATGACTCGAGTTCATGGACAGAAGGAATGAAAGGAGCTTTAAGTTCTTTCATTTGCAACTTCTTGAGATCAATATCTTTAAAGAATGGATGCGCTAAAACTTCATCTACGTCATTCACCTAACCTAATCTGGTTTTCCTGTCTCTGTCCAGTAACTATACTATCAGATCCTAAGCCACTGGGGAAACACTGATACCATGCTTAGCTCTGTCTGGCCATCTAATTGGGGCTTTCTCGATATTAAGAAACATCTTATTACGATTTTTATCGTAAAACGGTGGAATACCAATTATCATTTCGTATCTATAAAAGTTAATCTTAAAACTATTCAAAAATTTACATTAGTATTCCTAGAGCCCACCAATCGAGAGTGTGATCATGTCCAGTACCAAGCAGCATTTCCGGGGAAAGATACTCAGGAGTGCCGCAGAAAGAGTTTGACTCTTGAGCGATTTTAGCCAATCCGAAATCAGCTAATCTAATATATCCTTTCTCGTCAATTAATATATTTTCAGGCTTAAGATCTCTATACAAAATCTTGCTCTTATGCAAGTAACCTAAGGCGATTGCGATTTAGGCTGCATAGAACTTTACTCTGTATTCTGAGAATCTTCTTTCTTCCCGCAGATACTAGAATAGTTCCCCTCCTCTATAGAGCAATATTAGACATAATCCATCAATACCTTATATAATCCATGATGAAGTAAATTCGAAGTGCTCTTTGATAGACAAACATCATGCTGACAATGAATGGATTATTTACTTAGAGAAGAATAAGTTTTTCTAGCTTTACGTTTTCAAGCGAGTCATTGTCTAAGACTATATCTTTTCTAATACTTTTCATAGCATAGTATTAATCAATTTAAGGAAGATACACAAGATACACCTTTCCGAAATTACCTCGGCCAATTACTGTGATCAATTAAAAATCTTCCAAATTGTATTTCTCACATTCTGACGATCTGCAAAACAGGAATTGAGTCTTTTCAGATGTAGATCCCATCATATCATCAGAATCTTCGCAAATTTGGACAGAATTTTTGGATGCTTAATATGCCCTCCCTCTATGATTAATGTCATTTTCAAAATCATCAGTGATTATTTCAACTTTAGGCACACCTATTGATTGATGCCTATAGTTAGAGTCTTTTTCAGAGCTTCCACAGTTCGAGCCTGAACCACTGCTGCCTGTTCTAAACTGATCTAAATTTACAAGATCTTCCTCTGATATCCTAGCCAAATCCAGTGGAATTCGTGTTATACCTTTTTGAACATCCTTTTCTTTAGTCGTGTATTCAGCCAATGATTTTTACCTCTAAATTTAGGAAAATTAAATGACCAAAAGGAAGCATACAACTCCGTAAATAGGAATGTTCTCCTTGACAAGAGACAAATAGAAAACCTTGATTGCTGACATTATTCCAGTTCGTCTGTAAATATTAATCTTTTAAAAAATTAGGACAGCGTACCTATCAGATTTAAGACGTAAATCATGTTAACCTAAAATGTGTATGACTAATTCCTACGACTGAATGTCTTTGCTAACTGTAAGTCCTGCGAGTAGTTAAATTGGAACTTTTCTCCTCAGTTCTTAAAGGCCTTAAAATACAATGATTTACTTTTAACTTTGAGACTAAATATGTGTTTCTCAGTAACTACAATAATTCTCTCCTGTTTCCAGTCATATTTATTATATTTTTGAACTTTGCATGATAAGAATACCGATTCTATTTATATGATGAAATCATAGGGGAATAATATACCATTTTCAAATATCTTTTTAGTTTCTTGATCATCAGCAATCTTGAGTTGATCCATAATGTCATTGAGCTAATCAACTGCTTGAGCCTCTGAGTTTGCTTGGCCAAGTTTTCTCTACAGCTCTTTTTTCTCCATAAATCAATCTAATTAATAAATTCTCAATAAGAAAAATTTACATTAATACCAAATTTTTTGTAATTCATCTCATCCGGGGTTTTGGGGTTTTGGGGTTTTGGGG